CACAATCTCTCACTCTACCTCCACAACCCCTCACTCTACCTCCACAACCCTCACTCTACCTCCACAATCCCTAAACTTCCCTTTCACATCCCTCACTCTACTTCACAATCCCTCACTCTACACCTCCAAATCCCACCCCCCTCCCTTCACAATCTTCACTCTACCTCCACAACCCCTCACTCTACCTCCACAATCCCTCATCTCCTCCCTAATCCCTCACTTTACTTCACATCCCTCCACTCTACTTTCACAATCCCTCATCTCTAACCTCCATAATCCCCACTCTACCTTCACAAACCCTTCACTCTACCTCCACAACCCCTCACTCTACCTCCACAATCCCCACTCTACCTCCACAATCCCCTCACTTTCCCTTTCACAATCCTCACTACCTCCACAATCCCTCACACTACCTCCACAATCCCTCACTCTACCTCCCAAATCCTTCACTCTACCTCCACAATCCCCTCACACTACCATCCACAACCCTCACTTTACCTTCACATCCCTCACTCTCTCCACAATCCCTCACCTACCTCCAAAATCCCTCACATCTACCTTTCCACAATCCTTCACTCTACCTCCACAATCCCTCACCTACCCCACAATCCTTCACTTACCCACACCCTCACCTCTACCTTCACAATCCCTCACTCTACCTCCACAATCCCTCACTCTACCTCCACAATCCTCCCCCTACCTCCACAATCCCCACACTCACCCTCCACAACCCCTCACCTAACCCCACACCCCTCACTTACCTCACAATCCCTCACCTACCTCCACAATCCCTCACCACCTCCACAACCCCCCACTTACCTCCACAATCCCTCACTCTACCTCCACAATCCCTCACACTAACCTTCCCACAATCCCTCCCCTTCTACCCCACAATCCCTCACTCACCTCCACAATCCCCAAAACTACCTCCACAATCCCTCACACTCTACCTCCACAATCCCTCACACTACCTCCACAATCCTCACTCTACCTCCACAATCCCTCACTCTCCCTCCACAATCCCTCACTCACCTCCACAATCCCACCACTCAACCTCCCACAATCCCTCACTTCCCTTTCCCAATCCTCCCCCAATCCCTCACTCTACCTCCACAATCCCTCACACTCCCTCCACAATCCCCACCTAACCTCCACAATCCCTAAACTCTACCTCCACAATCCCTCCCCACTACCTCCACAATCCCCTCACACTCCTCCACAATCCCTCACTCTACACCTCCACAATCCCTCACCTACCTCCACAATCCCTCACACTACTCCACATCCCTCACTCACCTCCACAATCCCCCCACTCATCCAATCCCTCACACTACCCCAACCCCAATTTAAAACCCTGCACTTAACAAATCCTCACTTACCTCCACAATCCTCACTCTAAGACCTTAACAATCTACCTCCACAATCTATTTACCCCCAAACAATCCCTCACCATCACATCCTAATCTAAAAATCCTACCTACCTCCACAATCCTCACACTACCTTCCACAATCCCTCACTCTACCTCCACAATCCCTCACACTACCTCCACAATCCCTCACTCTACCTCCACAATCCCTCACTCTACCTCCACAATCCCTCACTCTGCCTTAACATCCCTCACCTACTCCAAAAACCCTCACTCTGCCTTAACAATCCCTCACCAAACCTCCACAATCCCTCACTCTGCTTAACAACCCCACTCTACCTCCACAATCCCTCACTCTGCTCTAAACAATCCCTCACTCTACCTCCACAATCCCTCACTCTGCCTTAACAATCCCTCACTCTACCTCCACAATCCTCCTCAATTACTGCCTTAACAATCCCTCACTCAACTCCACAATCCCTCATCTAAACTTCCAATCCTACACATCATCCAAATCCCTCATTCTACCTCCACAATCCCTCACTCTACCTCCACAATCCCTCACTCTACCTCCACAATCCCTCACTCTACCTCCACAATCCCCCACTCTACCTCCACAATCCCTCACACTAACCTCCCCAATCCCTCACTCTACCTCCCACAGTCTCTCACTCTCCTTAACAATCCCCACTCTAAGCTACACAATCCCTTCCATCTATCTCTAAAATCCCTCACTCTACCTCCACAATCCCTCCATTACCTCCACAATCCCTCACTCCTAACCTCCACAATCCCTCACTCTACCTCCACAATCTCCACTCTACTTCCAAAAATCCCTCACTCTACCTTCACAATCCATCATCTACCTCCACAATCCCTCCCCTCTCCCCCAAAATCCCTCATTCTACCTCCACAATCCCTTACTTTACCTTCACAATCCCTCACTTTACCTTCACAATCTCTCACTCTACCTCACAATCCCTCACTCTACCTCCACAATCCTCCCCTCACCTCCAAATCCCTCACTTTATTTCACAATCTCTCACTCTACCTCCACAGTCCCTCACTCTACCTCCAGAATCCCTCACTTTATTTTCACAATCCCTCACTCTACTTTCACAATCCCTTACTCTACCTCCACAATCCCTCACTCTCCCCCAAACCTCACCAATTCCACAATCCTCACTCTACCTCCACAATTCCCTCACTCTACACTCCACAATCCCTCCTTTCCCTTTCATAATCCCTACTCTATTTCAAATCCTTCACTCTACCTCCAAAAAATCCCCCCACTCCTACCTTTTCTACAGTCCCTCCCCTCCCCACAATCCCTCACTTTACATCACAATCCCTCACTCTACATCCACATCCTCACCTACCTCAAATCCCTCACTCTACTTCACATCCTCTCACTCTACTCCACAATCCTTCACTCTACCCCACAATCCTCATTTACCTCACAATCCCTCACTCTACTCCACAATCCCTCACTTTACCTCCCAACCCCTCACTCTACTCACAATCCCTCACTTTCCCCTCCACAACCCTCACTCTCTCCTCCACAATCCTCACCTACCTCCACAATCTCTCACTCTACCTCCAAATCCCTCACTCTACCTCCACAACCCCTCACTCTACCTCCACAATCCCTCACCTCTTTTATTTCACATCCCTCATTTCTACCTTCACAATCCCTCACTCTACCTCCATAATCTCTCACTCTGCCTCCACAATCCCTCACTCTACCTCCACAATCCCTCACTCTACTTTCACAATCCCTCACTCTACCTTCACAATCCCTCACTCTACCTCCATAATCTCTCACTCTGCCTCCACAATCCCTCACTCTACCTCCACAATCCCTCACTCTACCTCCACAATCCCTCACTCTACCTCCACAATCCCTCACTCTACCTCCACAATCCCTCACTTTACCTTCACAATCCCTCACCCCTGCCTTCACAATCTCTCACTCTACCTCCCCAATCCCTCAACCTACCTCCACAACCCCTCACTCAAACCCTCCAAAAATCCCTCACTTATACCTTCACAGTCCCTCACTCTACTTTCACAATCCCTCACTCTACCTCCATAATCCCTCACTCTACCTTCACAATCCTTCACTCTACCTCCACAATCCCTCACTCTACCTCCACAATCCCTCACTCTACCTACATAATCCCTCACTTTATCTTCACAATCCCTCACTCTACTTTCACAATCTCTCACTCTACCTCCAAAAATCCCTCACTCTACCTTCACAACCCTTCACTCTACCTCCACAATCCCTCACTCTACCTCCACAATCCCTCACTCTACCTCCACAATCCCTCACTTTACCTTCACAATCCCTCACTACCTCCACAATCCCTCACACTACCTCCACAAACCCACACTCTAACCTCCGAAACCCTTTCCCACCACCTCCACAATCCCTCACTCTACCTCCCAATCCCTCACTTTAACCTTCACAGTCCCTCACTCTACTTTAAACAACCCTCACTCTACCTCCATAATCCCTCACTCAAACCTTCAAAAACCTTCACTCTACCTCCACAATCCCTCACTCTAACCTCCACAATCCTTCACTCTACCTCCACAATCCCTCACTCTAACCTTCAAAAATTCCCCACTCTACCTCCACAATCCCTCACTCTACCTCCACAATCCCTCACTTTACCTCCACAATCCCTCACCTACCTCCACAATCCCTCACACTACCTCCCAATCCCTCACTTTACCTCCACAATCCTCACTCTAACTAAAATCCACAATGACCTAACTACCTTTCCACAATCCCTCACTCTACCTTCCACAATCCTCACACAACCTCCACAATCCCTCACACTACCTTCAAATCCCTCACTCTACCTCCACAACCCCTCACTCTACCTCCACAATCCCTCACACTACCTCCACAATCCCTCACTCTACCCTCCACAATCCCTCACACTAACCTCCACAATCCCTCACTCAACCTCCAAAATCCCTTAAACTCTACCCACAATCCCTCACACTACCTCCCACAATCCCTCACACTACCTCCACAATCCCTCACTCTACCTCCACAATCCCTCACTCTACCTCCACAATCCCTCACACTACCTCCACAATCCCTCACACTACCTCCACAATCCCTCACTCTACCTCCACAATCCCTCACTCTACCTCCACAATCCCTCACACTACCCTCCACAACCCTCACTCTACCTCCCCCAATCCCTCACTAAAACCTCCACAATCCCCCCCAACAACTACCTCCAAAAATCCCTCACTCAAACCTCCACAATCCCTCACTCAAACCTTCCACAATCCCTCACACAACCTCCACAATCCCTCACTCAAACCTCCACAATCCCTCACACTACCTCCACAATCCCTCACTCTACCTCCACAATCCCTCACACTACCTCCACAATCCCTCACTCTACCTCCACAATCCCTCACTCTACCTCCACAATCCCTCACTCTACCTCCACAATCCCTCACTCTACCTCCGCAATCCTTTAATTTCCTTCATTTCTGCTTCACAAATTATTTCATTACGGTGACCAGAGTTGATTTCGACAAGATTGTTTATATTTGATGGAAGGGGGATGGAGGGAGGGGAAGAAGGGTAAGAGGGGGTATGGAAGAGGGGAATGAGGGGAGGTTTGGCGATGGTCCAGGAGAAGCGGGAGACAGAGTCCAGGACGCCTGGTTCAGAGAGAGAGAGATAGAGAGAGAGGGGGGGGGGGCGTTCACCGGAAATCAAGAACTGGTGTTTGCAGGTGGGATTAGTGTACCCTGTGGGGGACCACAGGGTAAGGTGGGGGAAATTTCCCCTTCCCCATCCTGGTGTGGCCCTCTTGTGGCCTTCTCGGCAGCCACGGAGGTTCATGCTAATGACGTCCTTTGCCCCCCAGCTTCCTCAGGTCACGGCGTCTGCGCCAAGCGCACGTCAGACGCCGGCAGCAGCAGCAGTGACAGCCGCAAACCTGCAGCTGCTTGATGGTCAGTTGAAACACGTGCCAGCACCATCCCCCGTGCACGCCCGCACGCCTGTTACGCCTGCACGCCCGCTCCGCATCACTCCCCTGACCTGCCAGGCAAACACACCAGGTCACCTTCTGGGAAAGATATTAACGAGTAACTGGAAGAGATAGAGGTACAAGAATCTGCGAGAGAGAGAGAGAGGGAGGTGAGTTGGCGTGCGCCGCTGCGGCCAATCAGCGGCTGTCGCAGCGGGGAGGCGGAGCCACCAAACAACTCACCGGCATATATAAAGTAGGAGGGTAGAGACTAGCGCATTTGTTGCATGTGCGGCATGAAGGTGTACGCTGTGTCATGGCGGCTTAGTGGGAGAGATAACACGTGACGGTGAACTACCTCATTCCTCCCCCACCACCACCACCCCCTACCACTACTACCACCACCACCCCCCTCTCTCTCTCTCTCTCTCTCTCTCCCAAACATGAAAGTGCTTAGTGTTACGTTGGTCGGAGCGCTGCTGCTACTGCTCCTGGGCCTCCTGCAGCAGGCCTGGGCGAGGGCCACCTCAGCGGTCAACCCTCAACAGGTCGCTGATGACGCCCACCGCTACGGACGGAACTCTGACGGCGCTGGGAGGTACTCCCTCCTGGCAGGCCCTGCGAGACAAGCCCTCAGCCCTCTGCATCCTCTCCGTGGTGACGACACCACCGCCGAGGATAGTCAGGAGGAGGAAGACGAAGAGGAGGACGAGGACGAAGAGGAGGAGGAGGATGAAGAGGACCGGGATTTCGAATGGTCTGCCGAAGATCTGGACATGATCAAGCAGAAAATCCTGGATGGCCTTGGTCTGACAACTATCCCATTGAGGTCCAAGGTAGGAACTACCACCAAGTCACCTGTTGTTTATCATCACCCGTCAGCTGTGTCTCATGGCTAGAGAGACGTATCTCGTAGCTAGAGAGCCGTGTCTCGTGGCCAGAAAGACGTATATCGTGGCTACGAAACGTGTCTCGTGGCTAGAGAGACGTATCTCGTGGCTACAGAGAAGTGTCTCGTGGTTACAGAGACGTGTCTCGTTGCTAGAGAGACATGACTCATATCCAGAGAGACATGTCTCGTGGCTAGAGAGATGTGTCTCGGGGCAAGAAAGACGTGCCCCCTAGCTAGAAAGACGTGTCTCGTAGCTAAAGAGACGTCTCTTGTGGCTGCAGAGATGTGTCGTGTCTCGCGGCCAGAGAGACGTGGCTAGAGATACTTGTCTCGTGGCTAGAGACAAGTGTCTCAGAGCCAGAGAGACCAGGTGTGTCTCGTGCCAAGATAGATGTGTCTCGTGGCTAGAGAAACAAATGTCTCGTGTCTATAGACAAGTGTGTTTCAGGGCCAGAGACCAAATGTGTCTCATGGCTAGAGAGACAAGTGTGTCTCATGGCTAGAGAAAGAATAGTATGTCTCGTGGTTAGAGAAACAAGTGTGTCTCGTGGCCAGAGACAAGCGTGTCTCGTGAGTAAAGAGATACAAGTGTGTCCCGTGACTAGAGAGATACAAATGTCTCGTGACAAGAGAGATACAAGAGTCTCTAATTACTAGGGAGAGACAAGTGTGTCTGGTGTGTAGTGTCAACCACGTGCAGTGACACAGACCCAGCACGCTGTGGGTCCTGGCCAGGACACGGGGTAGGGACGGGGAAGTGAGATGGGTGTGTTATTGAACAAGGCCGTGTGTGTGTGTGTGTGTGTGTGTGTGTACTCATCTATTTGTGGTCGCAGGGGTCGATTCATAGCTCCTGGCCCCACCTCTTCACTGTTTGCTACTAAGTCCTCTCTCTCCCTGCTCCATGAGCTTTATCAAACCTGTGTGTGTGTGTGAAGGCTCGAGCGTAACCTGCCTGACGGATGACCGGCGTCAGCTGGGTTGTGAGGGGTGGGGGGGTGAACAATGTTTCAACGTCAGTCTTGCAACTTTCACCTCTATTGCCCCCTCACTTTAACCTCTTCCACCAACTACATTTCCAAAACTTTTCGCTAGATTTTTTCAGCGTGTGTGTGAGAGAGAAAGACAGAGAGTAAGGAGAGAGAGAGAGAGAGAGAGAGAGAGAGAGAGAGGAGAGAGAAGAGAGAGAGAGAGAGAGAGAGAGAGAGAGAGAGAGAGAGAGAGAGAGAGAGAGAGTGAGAGAGAGAGAAAGAGAGAGTACCTATTACGTCTGAGTGTACCTGGTGTGTGTGTGTGTGTGTGTACTCACCTAGTTGAGGTTGCAGGGGTCGAGTCCTAGCTCCTGGCCCTGTGTGTGTGTATGTGTGTGTATGTGTGCGTGTGTGTGTGTGTGTGTGTGTGTGTGTGTGTGTGTGTATGTGTGTGTATGTGTGTGTGTATGTGTGTGTGTGTATACCTAGCGTGAGTGTGAGTGTATCTAACGCGTGAGTGCGAATGGCATTTACGAAAAGCGTTAAACCCGCGTGGGTCGGCACCAGGGGCGGTGTTCCCTGGATCCTCGGCGCACTCAGCGCACGACACGACCTACTCACGGCCACACACTTCCGGAGCGATGAATCAGGCCGCTAGCGACACCATACTCCAGCGATATTGATGTATATACGCGCCGGCGGAATACTGCCGCGTCAGCTAGGGTAGTGTATCATGCGATGAGTGCCAGGAACACTGTCAGGTGTCACTATGAGGGGAAGAGTGTCACTGTGTCAGATGGAACTCTGAGGGGAAGAGTGCCACTGTGTTAGGGGGCACTCTGAGGGGAAGTGCCACTGTGCCAGGTGACACTCTGAGGGGAAGTGTGGCACTCTGAGGGGAAGAGTACTACTGTGGCAGGTGACACTCTGAGAGGAAGAGTGTCACTGTGTCAGGTGGCACTCTGAGGGGAAGAGTGCCACTGTGGCAGGTGGCATTCTGAGGGGAAGAGTGCCACTTGACACTGTTCTCCACTTTTGTCCTGATTAACAGGATGTGTGCCATCACTTATTTCCAATTACCTATTTGCGTTTCCTATATTCGCATTTCCCTATTTGTATTTACCTATTTACTATTTTACTATTACTTATTTGCTGTTACCTATTTGCTTTGCCTACTTGCTATTACCTATCTACTATTACCTATTTGCTATTACCTATTTATTACCTATTTGCTATTACCTATCTATTACCTATTTGCTATTACCTATCTACTATTACCTTTCTACTATTACCTATTTGCTATTACCTATCTACTAACACCTATTTGCTATTACCTATCTATTACCTATTTGCTATTACCTATCTATTACCTATTTTCTATTACCTATCTATTACCTATTTGCTATTACCTATCTATTACCTATTTGCTATTACCTATCTACTATTACCTATTTGCTATACCCATTTGCTAATACCTATCTGCTATTACCTATTTGTGATTACTTATTTGCTATTACCTATCTGCTCTTACCTATTTGCTATTACCTATTTCTTATTACCCATTTCTCATTACCTACTTCGCTAATTAAGTCAGAGTAGGAGAGCTATGTCGTGGTGTCCCACGGTAATGTTCAGTTGAACCTATCGACTGGGTGAAATGTGTGGTCAGTTCTTGAACAAGATTTAGTGTGTGTGTGTGTGTGTGTGTGTGTGTGTGTGTGTGTGTGTGTGTGTGTGTGTGTGTGTGACCTTGAGTGTATTGGGGACATTCACGTATGTTAATGTAAACAGTCTTAAGACACAACGCTTTGGTGTTATTTGTGGTATTACGCCTCTCTACCCTCACCACCACTTTCAACACCCGAGTGAGGGGGGTAAGGTCGACGGGAGGTGGCAGGGTGGTGGGGGGTGTTAATGTTGTGGGTTGGGGGAGGTGGTGAGGGTTGTTGTGGAAGTTTTGATCTACCTACCTGGAGTATGTTTGCGGTGGGGGGGGTTCGGGGGTCAACGCCCCCTCGGCCCGTTCTATGACGAGTCCTCCCGGCGGATCAGGGCCTGATCTACCAGGATGTAATTGCTGCCGCCACGCAATCCAGTGTATGAACCACAGTCCAGCTGATCAGGTACTAATTTTAGGTATCTGTCCAGTTCCTTCTTGAAAGCTGCCAGGGGTCTATTGGTAATCCCCCCTTATGTATGCTGGGAGGCTGTTGAACAGTTTTAACCGTGTGTTATCTCTTAGTGTACTCACGGCGCCCCTGTTTTTCATATGGGGTAAGTTGCACCGTCTGCCGAGTCTTTCGCTTTTATAGGGAGTGATTTTTGAGTGTACATTTGGAACTAGTGACTCTAGGATTTTCCAGGTGCAAATTATGATGTATTTTTCTCGCCTGCGTTCCAAGGAATACAGGTCAAGGGCCCTCAAACGTTCCTAGTAATTAGGTGACTGAGTGTACTTATACGAGCAGTGAAAGTTTTCTGTATATTCTCCAGGTCTTCAATTTCGCCTGCCTTGGAAGTGGCTATTAGTATACAGCAGTATTCCAGCCTAGAGAGAACAAATGACTTGAAGATGATCAAAATTGATTTGATATCCCCTATATTGCAGGTTCTCATTATCTGCCCATTCATTTTCCTCGCAGTTGTGATAATGACACTGTTGTGATCCTTGAAAGTGAGATCCTCTGACATTATCACTCCTTCACATTAGTTTCCCGCTCTATTTAATTTGTTTTATACTCAGGACTAGCTTTTATTTCCTCAATTTTCCCATAAGGGAATAACTGAAATTTGTCCTCGTTGAACTTCATATTGTATTCTGTGGTTTATATGTTCTTGGAGATTTACAGTGTCATCAGTGGATGACACTCACGCAAATACTAATATAGCCAGAAAAGACATAGATATCTTTGTCTATGTCGGACATGAGGATAAGGAAAAGTCTGGGGGCGAGTGCTGTACCAAGTGCTGTACCAAGTGCTGTACCAAGTGCTGTACCAAGTGCTGTACCAAGTGCTGCACCAAGTGCTGTACCAAGTGCTGTACCAAGTGCTGTAACAAGTACTGTACCAAGTGCTGTACCAAGTGCTGCACCAAGTGCTGTACCAAGTGCTGCACCAAGTGCTGTACCAAGTGCTGCACCAAGTGCTGTGCCAAGTGCTGTACCAGTGCTGTACCAAGTGCTGTACCAAGTGCTGCACCAAGTGCTGCACCAAGTGCTGTACCAAGTGCTGTACCAAGCACTGTACCAAGTGCTGCACCAAGTGCTGTACCAAGTACTGTACCAAGTGCTGTACCAAGTGCTGCACCAAGTGCAGTACCAAGTGCTGTACCAAGTGCTGTACCAAGTACTGTACCTAGTGTTGCACCAAGTGCTGTACCAAGTGCTGCACCAAGTGCTGTACCAAGTGCTGTACCAAGTGCTGCACCAAAAGCTACACCAAGTGCTGTACCAAGTGCTGTACCAAGTGCTGTACCAAGTACTGTACCAAGTGTTGTATCAAGTGCTGTACCAAGTGCTGTACCAAGTGCTGTACCAAGTGCTGTACCAAGTACTGTACCAAGTGATGCACCAAGTGCTGTAGCAAGTGCTGCACCAAGTGTTGTACCAAGTGCTGTACCAAGTGCTGTACCAAGTGCTGTACCAAGTGCTGCACCAAGTGCTGCACCAAGTGCTGTACCAAGTGCTGCACCAAGTGCTGTACCAAGTGCTGTACCAAGTGCTGTACCAAGTGCTGCACCAAGTGCTGTACCAAGTGATGTACCAAGTGCTGTATCAAGTGCTGCACCAAGTGCTGTACCAAGTGCTGCACCAAGTGCTGTACCAAGTGCTGTACCAAGTGCTGTACCAGTGCTGTACCAAGTGCTGTACCAAGTGCTGCACCAAGTGCTGCACCAAGTGTTGTACCAAGTGCTGTACCAAGTACTGTACCAAGTGCTGCACCAAGTGTTGTACCAAGTGCTGTACCAAGTG